GATTAGATATTCTTGGATATAAAAAAAATTGAAAATCCTAAGCTATGGTTAAAGATTATTTAACTAAATAAATAATTACAAACTAGTTTAGAAAACAAAGCATTTTCTTGAAGAATGGAGAGAGAATAATTATGAAAATTCACGTTGTCTAATCTCTCAACCACTTTCATCAGCAAGTTTCTTTCATTTGTAAATGTTAAGATTCAAACTCTTAACTTTACTCAAGGGACTTAATGCCTCATCTTACTATATCAACGGATTGTTGGTGGTAACGTTAATATTTTAATAAAGGTTTACGGAATCAAATAAAATTTTTAAGAGAAATATAACTCTTTAAAATTTCTTATACTCAATTAAGTCTTTAAATTTAAAATATTAATCAATATAGCTTGATCGAAATTATTATAATATTAAATGACAATATCAAAATTTATGGATCGAAATGGTTATAGTATTAAATGACCGTATCAATTTCCAAGGAATAATAACTTTAGCACCCCAAAGGACACTAGAAACATCACATATATGAAACATCAAATCATTTTAACTGGTGAAGAACCAAAGTTTTACCAACATTTTACAGAAAGAAATACAAACTATAGAATTTATTGGTCATTGCTGCTGTGATTTGATCTCCATGACCATGTTTAGAGCTTGAAATGTGGGAGGGCAGAGGTGCCATCAAGACCTTTTGCTTTGAAATAAGAAACATATTCTCTTATAGTGACTTCCCTGTATTTTGGAGGATTTTCTTCTGATAATAACTCCTTAATTGGTCCCTAAGTTGTTGAAGGCTGGTGAACAGTGCCGAAAAAGCATGCCACTGATACTCTCCCCCCTGCAGATTTTGACACCATTAAATACATCATTTGATATTAGCTGAAACAGGAGACTAGTATCAAACTAGTAATCGGGACATATTTGAATCTGTTCATGCATATTCGAATCTCAACATCAACTAAATGTAAGGTTACCTGTAGAAGATCGCCGATGTTAATAACTAGGGCACCAGTAATCGGGGTGATATCAACCCATTGGTTTTTTTGAAGAACTGGGAGGCCACTAATATGGTTTTGTTGGACCACCGTGAGGAAGTCATTGTCGGAATGATTGGTTATACCGGAAGTGAGTTGCGGTTGCGGACACGCAGGGTAATAAGCTGACAGCATAATGAGGCCTTCAGCACAATCCATGTGTTTCAGGTGATCAGGCTGCAATCCTAGAGCCTCCGATAGTAACTCAAATAGCAAACAACCCAATTGCCTTACTTGCTTTGTGTACTTCATAATTATATCCCTACAAACAAACCCAAATTTTATCCATAGGCATGCACAGATTTAAAGTATTTTTTGTCGAGTTTACCTGGATACCTCCGGTAACTCTTCCGGCAGGGGGGGATCGGGAGCCATAGTGCAATAAAGTGTATCCTTCCAGTCTGCTGTTGGTGAGCTATAAAGATGAAAATTGCTCATGTAGGCCACTTTTTTCGTTCTGATATTCCGGGTAAAGACCTTTTTCACCTCCAAATCTTACTCCAAAAACCGGACAACACCGTCCTGCAACTCCTACAGGACAATCCCTGGGATTCCATGGTTCACAACTTGTAAGAAACCCCATGATTCCGATGCATTTCTAACTTTCTCGACCATCTCGCAACGAGTATCTTCCTTCACGCTTTGGAGATTGATAACCGGAATGCTAACGCGGATGCCATCATGATCTGAGACAGATGAGTTCTTCCGTAATTCATTGTCACACTCCAAAATAGGGCCTAAAATTCTCTCAAAAATTTTTAGAGGATTAAATTGAATTTTGATTAAATTTGGGGATCAAAGTGAAATTTTGATTAAATTTATATTCAAATTCAAATATTATCAAATACTGAAGGACCTATGACATGATTTGATCGTTTTCTTTTTTTGGATTTATATACCCCAAAATCTGTAAAGTTTTCAATTGGAAACTAAAATTTTCTCTCTTTTCAGACATTTCCTCTTATAGAAGGAAACTTTTGATCGCCGATTGTTGTTCCATTTTCGATACTTTCCGTATCATCCCGAGTCCTTCGGTGTCCTTCTTGTGTCCGTTGTCACCGGCGTGTGAGGTATGAGGAAGATAAAGTTTCTGACATTTCGAAATCGAACTTTCCACCGTTTACCGAGCTTGACAAGTGTATCAAAACCCCTTAAAATGCAATTAGAAATATTTTTAGAATTTAATCAATTTATTTTATTTAACTAAATATATAAATTTAATTTACATATACATAAATGATTTTTTTATTAGTATGGGATGATTACAAAGATAATATCTATTTAAATTTTTTTAATTATTTAACAATAAACATAAATATTTTACTACAAATGCCATGTTCAAACTCAAAAGTTTTAAAAGTAACAATTACTATTTAATAACTGAAGTTCTTTGGTCCATATAAATAAATTAAAATATATAAAATCTTGTCTTATTTAAGTTACTAAATTAATTTGCCATCTCCAACATGGAATCTACAACGTCTAACTGTATAACTCAATAAGTCTGAATGTATGACACGTTTTACTCTGTTATTATGACACATTTTCTTTTGTCTTTTGGTATTTTTTTTGCCGTTGTTTTCATTTATCATTTTTAAGGGTTGATTAGACATTGCTATAGTCGCTCAATATGACGCTTATGTGTTATATTGTTGATCTTCCCTGCTTTGAACCTTCGGATTGGATTTGGATATCCTTTATGCGTTCATGGATAGCTTTTCACGTCGTTCGAGTCTAAGTTGCGGTTTGTCGGTAGTCTTTCAGTATCTTGATCCTCTTTTATGGTTCGTTTGCTGATGTGATCAGATTTGTTTATACCTATCTTTGTTCGAGTTTTCTTGGTTAGATTTTAATTTTTCCTTGTATGGTTCTTATGTGATCTTTAAGTTGTTAGTTTCGTTTCAATGATTATAAGAAATTGTTCTAATTATGAACTTAATTTACGATTGTGATTGTAATTTTTTTATTATAATTTAGGATATTTTTTATTTTAAATAAAATTAGAGTTTCTTTAAAAAAATTCAAAGTTCTCATTAATCAATATTTTACAGAATGAGAAAAATGAAAAGGACTCCAAATCATAAAATATATGACAAGGTAGATAAAATATTTTAGGTTAAGAAATTAATTCAGATTATTAATAGAAAATATTTAAATTATATTAGAATTTGAAATTTTCCGGCCGTCCCGTCAGTTTCCTTCTATTTATTCATGATACATGGAGTTGCTGATGTAATCAGTCTCCATGGTCATGTTTAGAGCTTAAAATGCAGCAGAGCATAAGTACCATCAAGGCCTTTTGCTCGGTAATAAGCAGCATATCTGACGGTGACTTCCCTATATTTTGATGGATTTTCTTCTGATAATAACTCCTTAATAGGTCCATAAGTCCCTAAATTTGGCAGAAGAACAATGCTGAAAAAACAGGCCACTGATACTCTCGGCCCTGAAGAATTAGCCACAACCCTATGCTCCACGCTTTTAAAAGCATCATTTGATATTAGCTAAAGAAAACAGAAAAATATCATCAAAGATAAAATATATAAAAAAAAATCGAGATTCGAATCTCAACATCTGTGACCTCGGCAAGGAAGATATAAGCTTGCCTGTAGAAGATCGCCAATGTTAATGACTAGGGCACCAGGAGTTGGGGGTACATCAACCCATTGGTTTTGATGAAGAACTTGGAGGCCACCGATATGGTCTTGTAGGAGAACCGTGAGGAAGTCATTGACGGAGGGCTTAGTCAGACCAAGAGTGAGTTCCGGTTGCGGACATGCCAGATAATAATGTGATAGCATAGATAGCCCTTTAGCACAATCCATGTCTTTCAGGTGATCAGGCTGCAATCCTAGAGCCTCTGAGAGTAACTCAAATAGAATAACCCAATTGCGTTACTTGCTTCGTGTACTCCATTTTATCCCTGCAAACAAATTTATGCACCTAATAAGTATGTATGTATGTATCATGTTTCAGTCATTCGATTCGTTGTCGGATCCGTTAACTCGGTAAAACACGACACCTATGATAAGATACCTGGATACCTCCGGGAACTCTTGTGGCGTGGGAGGATTGCGTGCCATGAAGCATAAAGCGTATCCCTCCATTTTGCTGCTGGTGAGCTATAAATATCAAAATTGCTGCTGTAGGCCAATTTGTTCGTCCCGATATCCCGAGTAAAGAACTTTTTCAACTCCAAATCTTGCTCGAAAAAACTGACCACACCATCCTTCATCTCCTCCAGGAAACTCACTGGGATTCCATGGTTCACAACTTGGAAGAAACCCCATGATTCGGATGCATTTCTAACTTTCTCAAAGATCTCGTGGCAAGTCCCGGGATCTTCCTTCACGCCTTGGAGATCGATAACCGGAATACTAGAGCGGATGCCACCAACTGAAACAGGTGAGTTCTTATGGAATATCCTAGGAACTTGTTTGATTCCAGAATCAACAAGTCCTTTAACACCAGCTTTTGTTTCATCAAAAGCCTTTAATTCACTTGTTCGATCATATTCAGGCTTTAGGTTCGCCATTGAAACTTTCTTTTCACCTAGGAAATTATCAGCGAAACACAGGAGGAAATGTGTATCTTTAGAAAAATGGTGTAATGACTAATCAAAAATGGAAAAGCCTAAGGCCAAGATTATTGTCGAATCTCAGCTACTTCCATGATCAAGTTGAACTTAATTAATTATGTTGACAAATTCCATGTTTATTGTCTACTTTTAAATGCAAGAAAATTTTCTCCATTAATCAATTCATCTAGTGGAACCGCTGTGATACAAACTTAGAAATCATATGCAGCCCCACATCCTTTAAACAAGGAAGAGATATAATACTTGATATTAATGTAGGAATAGATATAATACTTGATATTAATGTATTGACTATGTAAACTTATATGATCGTTTTTGAAGAACGATATTTCATAGACTTCTGTAAACCGATCGGTATTGCTGCTGTAATAATCTCCATGACCATGTTTAGAGCTTGAAATGAAGCAGAGCAGAAGTACCATCAAGGCCTTTTGCTAGGTAATATTCAACATATTCACTTATGGCGATTTCTCTGTATTTTGGTGGATATTCTTCTGATAACAACTCCTTAATATGTCCATAAGTCCTTAAATCTGGCAAAAGAACAGTACTGAACAAGCAGGCCACTGATACTCTTGGCCCTATAGAATTTGCCACCACTCTATGTAACATCCGCAATACCGGGTTAGTGACCAAATTGTAAAGTTTCAGAATTTGGTGACTAAAGTATAAGAATGAAATAGTTCAATGATTATTGGAAATATATGATAAAGGTTATTTAGTAATTATTAAAGGAAATAAAGGGCAAAAGGGTCAATTGACCAAGAAATGAATTAAAAATGGGATTTGTAAGGATAAGTGCACGTGGAAAGGGAGAGAATTCTCCAGAGTTCTCTTCTCCTTTCTTCTTCTTCTTCACGTGGAAGCCAAGAGCCAAAGGTAAGTTTCTTTGTTTATAATTGAATTGTTGATTTTAAGGTTGGGTTTTAATTATTAGATGATAACTAAGCTTAAGGAAAGCTTAAATCATCTTAAAAGCAAAGGATGATGGAGTTAGGAGAGATTAAAGATTTAGAGTTTACAAATGAAAACTTGGAATAAAGTTCATTTCTTAAATTGGAAGTTAAATTTGACTTGTCAATGGTTAAATTAAGAGATTTGGAGTGATAGAATTGGATTTAGAACATATAGAAAATTTGGTATGATTCTTGAATCTCATAAGGAAGATAGGATTTTGAGGTTAAAGAGGATTTTCATGGATATAAGTTAGTTTAAGTAATGGTAGTTGAGTTTAATGACATAGTAGGGGTTTAAAATAGAAGAAGTGAAGGAAAATTGATGATTTCGAGCTTAAAACAATTTCTGGGTAGAGGGAACCGATACCCTATGAATGGGAATCGATTCCCCCTCTTGAACGAAAAATTCCAGTATGTTCAGAGGGTATCGATTCCCCTAGGGGTATCGATTCCCCCCTAAATGAAAATATAGAATTTGATTCATTAAACCGGTTTAAGTTATTAACATCAAGTTTAAAGTTTAGGCTTCTGATAGTTGTTTTGAAATGATATATTTATGTAGATATTGAGCCTAAATAAGCTCCAGAATAATCAAAGGATTATAATCGAATCAAAGCAAGGCTAAGGTGAGTGCAATTTAATTTGTACTTATATTATTGAATAAACATTGGCTTGCGATGAGCTAGTGATGGAGTTACTATGGTAAGAAATAACTCCTAAAATGTGATTTGATTGGTAATCTATGTGATGATTTGTGATTATGGGATATGTGTTAAAAGACAATGATCTAAATGACTACATGAATCATGTGGTATAAGTTATGTGATTACATGTATGTATTAATACATATTGCTTGCATTACATGTTAATGTGATTATGAATAGGTAGAAAGGAAACAAATGATGATATAAGAATCTATTATAAGATATATGATATGAAAATATGATAGTGAGCTATGTGAAAGAACTATGAGATATATGAGTTATATGAAAAATATATGCGAACAAGATACTACATCTATGTTTATATGAAACAATGCAAGGTGATATGAGCTATGTGAGATATGAATATAAAATCATATGAGAAGTGAAAAGAATTACATGAAAATAGACTAAGTGATTACATGTATATGAGAAAGAAGCTATGAGCTTATATGAATATGTTATATGAAATGACATATGAATAGGCAATACGTGATACATGTGATATGATATAGAATACATGGTTACACATACATGTGGTATGTGACAGAAGAGAAATGACAAGTAATGTGAACTGTTAAATGATAATGCCCATGTTATGTGATATGAGAGCTAGGGTATGGTTGGCATGCCAAGGGTCGAGGGTTTACCTATGTTCTTCGGGACATATGGATTGTTTATATATGTTCTTCGGGACATATGGACTGTTTACCTATGTTCTTCGGGACATATGGACTGTTTACCTATGTTCTTCGGGACATATGGACTGATTACCTAGGTTCTTCGGAATCTATGGACTGGTCCTTCGGGACATTGATCGAGGTGTGGTGACAACATATGTGTGCACAACCTCAATGTACTCACATACCTTAAGTTCTCACTAGTGTATATGGGCTAATAAAGTGATTAAACAAGCATACTGAATGTGATATGTATATGATGGGTTTATAAGTGGTTTGAAATGTGTTACATGAACCATATGATGTTATGTGTGTTTCTTAATGATAATGATAGAGATTATGATAATAATGGTATATGTTTATGTATGTTTTATGTTAAATGAAATATTATATGTTTTATATGCCTCACTAAGTCATCGACTTAGCGTGTGATTGTTTCACACGTAGGTTTGGAAAGCGAAAAGAAAGTAAAGAGGAACAAGACAGGTCAGTTCTCCTTACCGAATGTCAGATCAGAAGAGAGGTGAATAATATGTTTTGTATATAAAGTTCTAGTTGGCATGTAATCAAAGAAT